AGAGGCTCGCTCGTGGGGCCGCTGGCGCGGGACCTGGGGCTCAGCGCGGACGAGCTGCCGGCGCGCAAGCTGCAGGTGGCGTCTGCCGGCAAGAAGCAGCTGAAATACTTCACGGTGAATGAGGAGAACGGGAACCTGTACGTGAACGAGAGGCTGGACCGGGAGGAGATGTGCGGCGAGTCGGCGACGTGTTCTGTCAGCTTCGATGCGTTGGTTCACAACCCGCTGAACGTTTTCCACGTCGAGGTGGCCATTGAGGACGTGAATGATAATGCGCCGCGTTTCCGGCGGGACAAATTCCAACTGGAGATCAACGAGCTGACTGCTCCCGGTGCTCGTTTTGCCGTGGGAATGGCTGACGACGCGGACGTGGGCAGTAACTCGCTGCAGGGCTACGAGCTGGAGGCCAACGGGTACTTCGCAGTGGAGGTGAAGGAGAGCCAGGACGGCAGCAAGTTCGCGGAGCTGGTGCTTCGTCACGCCCTTGACCGAGAGAGCGAGCAGAGTCTCCAACTGGTGCTGACTGCGCTGGATGGCGGAGACCCGCCCAGGACTGGCACCGCCCAGCTTCTGATCAACGTCACCGACGCCAATGACAACCCGCCCGTGTTCGCGCAGGACCGGTACCGCGTCAGCCTGCGCGAGAACACTGCCCCGGGATCGACGGTGCTGAACGTCTCTGCCTCCGATGCTGACGAGGGCACCAACGCCCGCATCACCTACGGCTTCGGGGAAATGCCGGCCAAAGTGCTCCAGAAATTCATTATGGAAGAGGAGACAGGGACGATCACGCAGAAAGAGCCACTGGATTTCGAGGAGACGCGAGGTTACGTGTTGTTGGTGGAAGCAAGGGACGGCGGTGGTCTGGTGTCTCATTGTAAGGTGGAGGTAGAAGTGCTGGACGTGAACGATAACCCACCAGAGATTACGGTACTGTCGTTGTCGAACCCGGTGCCCGAAGACGCGCCGACTGGAACCGTGGTGGCCGTGCTGAACGTCGACGACCCAGACTCCGGCGAGAACGGTCAGGTGTCGTGCGAGCTGTCGGGCGAGGCGCCGCTGTCGATCGTGGCGTCCCCGGGCGGCTCGTACAAGGTAGTGACGGCGAGCGCGCTGGACCGCGAGCAGGCGTCCGAGCACCGCGTGACGGTGGTGGCCCGGGACCGGGGCAGGCCGGCGCTGTCGAGCAGCGCGGAGCTGGTGC